CTAAAAAGGGGCATTAAAATTTACAGTTTTATATATAGAGTTCTGTAGATAAGTCCTTCTGATGATGCTGTAATTTTCTGAATCCTGGTTGAGGATCTTCAGTTAATATTCTTCAATACTGCCCTGTAAGCCTCTAGTTTCATTGCAAAATCAATGTGTACAACTATTATTTGGCTTTTCTATCTTTACTTGCAACGAGAACCACATTTCTGGAGCTATTTATTGACACTTTGGTAATGCCGTGAAGGCTATTTCTTCCTTCCTAATTGTGCTTTTGTTCCTTTCTGTGCTCAACAAAATATGGCAAAAGTTCAAAAGTATATATCCTTCCTTTCCAACAAACTGAACATTTTAAACTAGTTTACTGGTCACCTACATACAGATTCTTAGAAACTACAGTGGTGGAAACTGGTAGACACCAGTGCTCCCTGGCTCCCCACTGCCCAACATTACAGCAGCATGAGAGAGCTGCAGATGACTTTCTAACACATTCCTCCAGAAAAGGCTTTCCCTAATAAAGTCAGTAGTAGGCCAGAACCAGTAATAGCAGTAAGTTGTTCCAAAATATTCCCACTCTGCTCCTGACGCTGCCTTTTATGGGAAGCAACAATCCCCCTTCACAAAGCTTCCCCCAATTACAGGGAAACCTATGAGAATCGCTGAAAGCCAGAAAACTCTCAAATGCTTTTCAAAGCTAAGAAAATCCAAGCCTTCCTACAAGATTTCTATCATCTTCCCACTCTACCCTAAATCACATTTACATGACTCATTCTTCCATTTTACACTTCCCACAACTTGAATCCTTCCTGTCTTGTCTTCTTTTTCCCTCCTTTTCCTGCAAATCTCTTTACTTTCATGTACTTAGCTCACGTAGAGTTATCACAGCGCTAGTGTCGTATTTTCCTCCACTAAATTGATTATTTCTTTAAGTCAGGTCTCTGCCTTCTGGAGACAGACGCTCTTCTCGTGACGGCACAGCAGCACAGATTACCAGACAACAGTACGCTGCATCACTACTTTTATTTGCAATAAGCACAGCTCCTCTTTTTGCGTGGGCATCACACTGCTTTTTTGCAATCCAGCTGCTGCCTCCCACAGCTGCAGGATTTACCAGACCATCCCTTGGAAACCGCAGCTGCTGCAGCTCGCAGCTCTCTGGGAGCGCCGAGCGCAGCAGGGGTGCAGAAAGGCTGCTGCTGGGGGAAGGATGCTCACCCTGAGCTCGGCCACGGCGGGGTGACCCTGCCCGTCACGGGGGTAACGTTTTGCTGTCTTGAGTGGCAGAGTTGATCAGCCTCTTCCCGAGCACTTGGAGGTGCACTGAATTAAAAAGACGCCGCCTCTCACTAGAGGCAGGATCGGTTTTGTATTGGCCCTTGCTCCTGCTGAACTCGATTGCAGTTTCATTCCCCTCTCCCCCCCCACGCACATCCTGCAGTACTGTCATTTCTTTCCAAGCTCAACATCAAGGTTCGTGTAATTACATATAAGCATATGTATATGATTGTATATGCATGCATTACTTCAAAAGGGTTTGCATAGTAAAGCGTGCAAAATGAGAAAACACCAGCATTAAAGGAAGCAGGTGTGATTCAGCAGCTTCTTGTGGGCATGTTAGGAGACAGTCACATGTGGCTGCAGCCTTCTTTAGTGCATATTGTGCCAACCCTCCACTTCCTATAAAACTGTAATCACCTCCGGAGCGCTTCTCATCATACTCAGGTGCTTCACAAGTATTCATCCATTCATGTCAAAATACATTGGGCAATACTGTTATAGCCCTTCTTAAAACAAAGGAACTGGGGCGTATGTTACTTATGTTAACGCACAATAGTATATGTTATTCAACACATTTGACTACAAGGTCTTTCTTTTCCCTCCTCATGCACTGCATACATAGTCCTGCAGGTACTAACCAGCGCTGAATCAACAGCACTGATCAAACAACAAAAGCTCTCCTGGAAAATGTCTCAGAATAAAAGTCTGGTACCATCTGAGCCCCTCGTTCCAATGAACAAATTGCAGCAGAGAGGGATCTTTTAGTAACAGATCACCACAATGTGCAGGCTCATTAGGAGCAACATCATAAGTAACTTTGAAATCAAACACTTCTTAAGTCTAATTACTCAACTTGCATACTTTGTTAATAATTTTTCCAAAGTTTTGCCGAGTGAGGCTTATCATCCCTGTCCCCCGTAGCTGCAAGCTCCTGCTGATCAGAGCAACCTTGCAGCTGCGTGAGGCAGTGGCTGCCGGGCGGCACAGCCCCCAGAGATCCCAAGTTTAGGACGGACTTCTGGGGAGAGAGACAATCTTTGGGTTTGATTTCTTAAATTGAAAAACTGTAATTGTAGCACCAAGGCCCAACTTGCATAATGAATAGAGTGTGGACCACTGAGATCTATAGCACAGACTACTCCTACTTCTAATTAAGTAATAGCTAGCAGTTGCGAGCTTTTCCACATGCATATGTAAAGCCTGCTGATAAAAGGACAAGGAGAACTGTAATGGCTTTTTTTGTTAGGCTGCAGGAACTTAGAAGCTGCTGAAAAGTCTAGTATGATAGTTAGCTTTGTTATAGTCTGATTGCTTTTGTCTAAATGCCTTTTAAAATTTTTCTCTCTTACTGTTTGTTTTGCTGCACTTACACTTTTATAGTCATTTCTCTAGTACTTGTGCCCTCCTTTTTCTGCTATACTGTATGTTGTTCTATATGCATGCTTTTCTTTTTCTGCTTTCGCCTGCTTCCCTACCACCAGTGGGAGTAGTAAGTGTATGGATGATAAGTGTACACATGCTTCAAAGCTATATCCAGTTCTACAGAGGAGCCCACAGAACCCTGGAAATAATTATTCTGAGAAAAATGGTGTTCATCCTCCACAGCAATTGTGTGGAACATATGAACTTGCACAGCTTATGTCATGCAGTCCAGTCACTAAGCAGGAGTTGTGAGAGGAGATGTCTAGTACAGATTTTTCAAGGACCAACTTATAAATTTCTGAGAGTGTGTAAGCCGAAGCTTTTCAAGGACTTACTACTTTGGTGTATCTTTCCGAGAATGGCAAAAAGTACTCTTCCGAAATGTGGAGGTAGTAAAACTTCTGAACAGGACAGTGCAATATTTTTCACATAGACAAAATAATGTATTTTCCTTGATTATTGCCTCATAAATGGATGAACTGCTGTCCTCCTGGATGTTTCTCAATACTCAAATCGAGGTGGGTAACACTATGGAAAAGCTGATGCTAGCCACATGCAATGAGGAGAAAAAGCAAGCATCTAAGCATAGGATCTTACCACGTGAAGACTCAAATAAAAAAAAAAATGCAGTCTTAACTATTAGTAGTGAAAGTAGCTCCACCTAGAAAAGGTATAAAAATACAGGTATGCGCTCACCTCCTAAATGACTACATAATTATAACATTGGTTTTCCCCATCTTCCTCCTTTCCCTTCCTAGTCGATGCTATTGTTATCTGCTGTGTAGCTGGTAAAATGACTCAGATGATAGAATCATGCTGGAGATTATATATACATGGAACACTGAGGCCAGAGAATGCAAATTCCTCTGGGCAAACAATCTAGGGTGGGGTTTTTTTGTATTTATTCTGCCAACACTATGCATACCGTCTTATAAAAGTTTTATATTTTTAACTACTGCTTTCAGCTGAACCTCAAAACAAGCCATGCTTTAGTTCAAGGCTTGAACTTGCTGTTGAAAAGAAAATCAACACAGCAATTTTCTTTATCATGAGTAACTACATCTACCTATGGCTTTGAGTATATAATAAGAAGCTTAACAGAATCTCAAGCAACTGGAGTTTTCCACTGCAGTTTTGTCCTCATTTGCTCTAGTAATCATTCAAGCTTAGCAGCATTTGTTAAATACAGGTACAGGTCAACTGTATTTCAATGAAGTTCAAAGAAATGGGTGCAGCTAACTGAGCCATATCAGAAAAAAACAAAAACAAAAACAAAAACAAAACCCAAAAAAACAACACAACAGAAAATAGTGGCTTGATGATGCCCGTCTTGATAGTATTTTGCTTCTCAGCTGATGCAATACCAGGCTTCTATGGAGTAAATCACCTTTCTGAACATTCTAGTTAGTTGATAAATAATTTGCCTTACTGAAAAATATTTTGTCAAATAATATCTTCTGTGAGGTAAGTTAAATACAGATGTCATCTCATCTGCAAGATGACAGATAAAAGAAATAAGTATTTTTGATTGATCACCTTGTGTAAAATAATTTTCATTGGTTAATGACATAATCTGAGGCACTACAATAAGCATTAAGTTCAATATTGTCAGATTTGCCACTAGTTAATAGATTAAAAATAATCAGACATGAGACAAGCTTATAGGAATCAGGCCCTGTGTACGTTGGTTAGAGTAAAGCCATTCATACAGAAATGTTTTGAAATGACCAGGACCTTGGCTGGTCTGATCTGGACACTGTAAAAAGGCCTGGTTGCTAGAAAATGTTGATAGTTTAGCTGTGGGGAAAAAAAAAAAAAAAAAAAAAAGCTGTCTTACATTTATTTCAATGCAGACTTGAATCAGCTATAAACACAAGTCATTAAAACAGGCTGAGATTTTTTTTTCCTAATAAATATTATGATAGACTCCAGAGAAGATGGAATAATAGCAATGCACTGCACCAGTCTAACTGCTTCACACTGAACAGCCTCTTGCTGCTGGAGTGGTCTCCCTGAAATCTGTATGAATGTCTGGGGGCAAGGGAAAGGAGGCAGAAGCTGGCCTTAAGAAACCCCTGTAGGATGCATCCACAACCCAGAACAGAATTAGAGTGGTGCATCCACTGCAATTCTTACTTGGGAAGATTCCCAGCACCTTCTGGAGAGGCTCCATCACATCTGATCACTAGTGCCGTGCAGAGCACGTAATGAAGTGCTACTTTATCTTCATTTATTAAAACAGCTGTCTGAGGTCATAAATACAACCAGTTGTTTTTATCACCAGGAGTCTTCCCATAAGCATGAGGATGATGATTAACATCGTATCTCCAGTTCTGCTTACATTTGCAACCTTGCGGCAGATGCTTGGCACCAGCGTTGTTCAGAAGCCATCAGAAAATGTCTTGATTGCTGGTGACCCCTGCAAGAACTTTGGTGGCTGCGACATTGATCTGACCCAAGGAGTGCTCCTCAGGCAAGCACGAAGGCAGGCTTTTTTTATTGATTAGCCAAATGGTCTAGCCTTCCTGTTTTGTCTCCTCATTGGCAATTAAGAGAGAAATCCATTGAGGGAGTGGTGGCAGTGAACCTCTCCCTCTGACACAAATAACCTTAATCAGACCTCTTAGTTAATTTCTGAAATTGTTCTGTATCGACCTCTGTTTGAAGCAGGATTTTCATCCTACGGTCCTATCAGTAAAACATACACATCTTCCTGTTAGCAAAGCAGGCTTTTTCTAATGGTGACATCTTTTACTTCTTATTTACAATCCTAATCACATCATTGATTCCAGTAATCTTTCCTGCACTAAGAGCCGTTATTAATTCTCTCAAAGGAGAACATGGGTGCGTTTTGGTGGGGTCTTTTTTTAAACCTAGATAATTAAAATTAAATCAAGTAGTGACAATCTGGGG